GCAAGACCACGCAGCCAGGAACCGGGCAGGGTGGGGGTGCCAGCCCAGGAGCACAAGGAATCCCTGAAGCAGGAGCTGCCAAAGGTCCTTCCTGTAGCCTGCAGGGGGCAGGCAAAGCCCTTCTGGCACCTTGTTTTGAACATCTCCCCTCCATAACTGCAGGCAAACAGTGCCTTAGTTCTGAGCCCCTGGTTTTTGCTCATTTGCCATGGCAGATCCAGGGAAGTAGTAACTACCTGGTTAGCCACCCTGGCACTGCGTCCAGTCTCACCCAGTAGGGATACTAGGCAGGTGGCCCACCCCCCGCAGGCTCTGAGCCCCAGGGCCTTCCCCATTCCACACCTGGCACTTTCTCCAAGGCCTCCATCTTCTGCAAATCATTCTCCTCTTCATCCTCCCCCTCCTCGGATGGGGTGAGTGGTTCCACACCTTTATAGCCACATAAATGGAAAGAAAAAAACAAAACGCGATTGTTCGGCACAGAAAGGATCCTAGGAGGCCCCTCTCCTTAGAGCCCAGGACCAGTGAGGCATGCAGATGTGCAAGACACATCTGTTACAGGTCACAGCGAGGTCATGGCTGCTAGCTGACCCTCCCTGGGACTGACCCAGGACCGACACTGTCAAGGTGCTGGCTGGCTCGCTGGCTGGTGGTGAGCTACTGGCCTTCGGGCCACCAGAACAGGCCTGCTGGGGAATCCCAGCCAACTACCAGCTGGAGAGCCTGCCTCTTTCTGCTGTAGCCCCTGGCCTGATGTGCTTGGGGCATTTTGCAAACCGACACAGACATTCAGAACTGTTTCAGCCACTGAGCGGCTCCCATGGCACCAAAGGGAGGCTGGTGCAGAGTCCCCAGGAAAGGAGGACACAGAGTGGTCAGAGGGTTACAGCCCTCCCAGAGGAGGCTCAGTTCCAGAAAGAGAGGCCCAGTTCTGTTAATTGTCATAAAAATGTAAATCAGAATGAGATGGTACATCCACCCCTCATTTATGGGACCCGCAAATGTACATGGCGGAGAACATCTGAGCTGGACAGTCACCAGGGTGGAGACATGGCCATTGGCAGGACCTCCCCAAACTGTGAATCAGCAGATCCATGTTTGTGACCTTACAGAAATACAGAGCGTACAGTGTTATCTTGTTTATCAAAAAATAGTGTGGAAAGGGGAGTGCCCAAGACTTAGGGAATAAAACATGCTGCATCTATATACTTAAAACCTATGAAGTGGGCTCTCCCTGGTGGCGCTGCAGGTTAAAGCACAGCACTGTGAAGTTCTATCCCCCGCCAGGGAGTGGACCCTCATGCCCTGGCAGACCTCTCCAGACCCACCCACTGCTCCCCTCAGCAGTGTACTTCATCAGTTGGCCTGTTCTGCCCCCAACTCTGTCTCTGGTGAATCCTCTCACCTGCCCCTGCACCTCTGGCCTGTGCCCCAGTTCTATAAACATAATAATTAAATCTTTAAAAAAAAAAAAACTACAAAGTTAGGAAGATCTAGGTTGTGTTGACATGAAAAATGTCATTCTCCAAGATATGTTGGAAGAGGACAAGTCACTATGTATTTATCTATTGACAGATCGACAGACATATATATCATACACATATATACTATACAGATCAGTTATGAATTTAGGAACTCTATGTATCTATATATTGCTACATAGAGATAATAACCTCTGCATAGAGAGATGATTACATAGATAAATAAAAGATATGGAGGGAGGGGAGTGGGAAGGGTGGACAGGAGGGAGGGGGGTGGGAGGGGTGGACGGCTTTAGGAAAAGACCTGGCAGGATATACACTAAACCATTTTAGTGGTTACCTTCAGAAATGGAAGTGGGCAGCAGGAGGTGAAGGATTGCCTATTCCCACTTGGTTGTATGCTCTCTGTGCACCTTTAAAAGAGTGTTTTCCAAGAATACCCGAGTGTTTTGTTTTTGCTTTTTTTCTTTTAAGTTTTAAGTGCTACTGCACGAAACAATTCCACTTTGTTCTTTCAAGATACAGTAATACATGCTGACCCATCAGAATGACACCTTGGGCACGCCACTGCTAGTGTGGACAAACCCCTTGTCACCAGCACCTATTTGTCTCCACTCATGTGGTTGTTACTGGCGCAGAGACAAGTTTTTATGCGAGGAGGGGCGGAAACAGAAGAATGAAGGGAGCCCGTCGGCCTGTGTGAGTCCTTTGAAGCAGCCCCGGTGAGGTCGCCCGGGCGCCTGCGGGACACAAGCGGAGGGTGCGTGACCACGCGGGACGCGGCTGGGTCGGAAGCCCAGCCCAGGGGACCCCGTCCCGGGCGAGGAGCGCCGGGAGTGCGGGCGCGCTCACCGATCTCCACTTCCACCTCCTCAGGCACCATCGTGCGGTAGAAGAAGAGCGTGGAGGCAGCCTCCTCCTCTGTGGCCTGGTTGAGGAAGTGCAGGATCAAGTCCTCTGCCTCGCCGTCATCGCGGTTCAGCAGCTCTTCGAAGAGCTGGGGGTCTGTGAGGCCGAAGGCGGTGTACACGCGGTCGCGCATCCACACCACCCGCAAGTCGTCCATGGCGCCGCGCAGGGCCCGCCGGCGGCGCGCGTCCTTGTCAACGGCGCCCCTAGCGACCAGCGCCCGGGCAACCGGCGCTGCTAGCGACAGCGGCGGTGGCCGCCTTGACCCGCGCCCGCCAGGACCACGGAGAGCGGCGGAGCCCGGGTGGGGTGGCAGCAAGCCGGGGCGAGGCTGCCCCCACGTGCGCCCACCCTGCTCTGACCGCGAGGCCCCGGGGCCAGCCTGTATCTGTTCCTGGGCGGCCACCTCCGAACCGCTGCCCCTGGTCGTTCTGACTCACAGGTGGCAGAGGTGGGGAGGCAGGCAGGTGTCTGACCATCAAAGAACTTCAGAAGACGTGAGCGACTGGGAAGACGGTTCCAAAAAGGGACAAGTGGCTTCTGGGCCCTGTGGAATCTGCAGGGAAGGGGCCTAGGGCTTGGGTCTAATAAAGCAAAACACCCATGTTTTAAAAATATAGACATATTTATTTTTCATTAGTAAAATAACGGTCAATACTGTCGGAAGATGCAAATTTGTCCTTTCATGCATGTTTTTCTAATTTGTCACTGTCATTTCCCCAAGAGTCCAGGGCCTGGGCTCCCAAGGCTGATCCTAAAAACCGGCCATTCTTGTTGGATTTTTCCCATCAAGGAACAAGTGGTTTCCGTTTGTCTTAAAATCCTAGACCAAGGCTCAGCATCAGTGGCTTCGCTGCTGGACACTTCCTCCACGCTGCCTTGCTCTCCTCATTTTGAAGGGAGACGTCTTAGCGCCTTCCTGGAGATACACCAGAGGGCATACAACAAGCCTGGCTTTGAATTGGTAATAAGTGTACTGGTTTTCAATTCAGACTGCAGAACAGCTGTAGGTATTTGTCTTCCAAAAATGAATCAGGCTCTAAAAGTATTTAATTCATAAACTTCCGAGAGTTACCTGCATTATAATCTATGTCTGCTGCAGGTGGGAGAGTGGGGCCAGAGTGATGGGATCTGCACCCTTCCCAGAGGTGAGGAGAGTGCATGTGGGGGTCATCAGTCTTTTCGAAGTCCTACCCACACTGCCAGGCCCCAGAGCCCCTGGCCCTCCAGGACACCTCCTTGACTGATCACAACTGTGTGGCCAGAGCCACACTCCTGGCCTGCACAGGATGAAATCAAATCCTCTCTCACTGAAGAAACCCCTTGGTTTCTAAAATTTTAATTTCAGGACTCTGTTAACACATGGGATGAAAACTGGGAAACGCAGCCATTGGTCTTTGGAAAGAAACAGATATTGAGCCTCAACTGGCGGTTCGCCTCTGGCCAATGAAGGGAATAAAAAGGACTCATGAGAAAGTTCTGCTAATTAATTTAAAATAAAGCAGAACAGGTGCTTTGGCACACTGGAACGAGTACATTATAAAGAAGAAATATTTCTCCTGGGGCTTATAAGACACCATCAAACTGTAGCATACTTCCACAAAGGCTAGGGAGTGCTAATAACTTTTGTATATAACTACATTTACATAACTATGTCATAGTCAACTTCGACATGGTCTGCTCTGGTCTACATCCTGGAAAGAAATCTTGACTAAGATGACAAGAAGCCCCATGATGACCAGTGGGGGCAGTCACGTTCCAACTGGTCGTCTGTCTCAGGTAGGTGCCCTGACATCTCGGGGCTCCCAGGCAATTCCCACATCATCACAACAGATTCTTGGAGCAAAGCAGTGGAAATGGCACAGGTGGGGACTCCAGCCTTGAGCGGAAAGTAGTGGGTAAAGCCTGGTTAAAAGGGGTACTTGGGCTTCCCCTTCATGCAATACGTTGCCCAACATGGTGGCACCTTTCTGAGCTTGAAAAGTAGAATTTCCAAGTCACAGCAGCATCATTTCATGTTTGCTATTTTAGCATGAGGAACAGACACCAGAAACCCAAAGGGGTTCTGGGTGCCATCTCACAAAGGAACAGCTTGGGATTCTGGCCACAATGGGAAAGGTCTGATGCTCTAGTCACAATCTCTGGGATCATGCCTCTTACTCAGCAAACACGTTTTGACATCACCTTGAAACACGGGCTGAGCTTCAGTGCCCAGGGCGGGGAAGGCCCAGCCCTCCACCAGCAGTCAGGGAAGGGAGCTGGTCAAGTGGGCCTGTTCATGTGTCTTTATCAAGATAGTAAGTGAAAATACTATAGATTTCTTTTTGAAAATAATTATCTAAAATCGATTAAGATAAAATATGGAAAATAAACATAATTTACAAGAACACAGACCAAAGTGTCCAATAAGACTGCCTAAAGTTCATCCAAACTAAAAGGCCAAGTGAACACATGAATTTAAGCAGATTATAAATTAATGACTTAGTAAGAATTAGTTCGACTGATCTAGTGTTTGAAAGTTTAAATTAAATGCCTTTGTCAACCAGACCTGTATTTAGAATTAGTCTGAGAGTAAAAAATTATACTATTCTCAAGGATAGGTGCAATCTCTTCATGGTAAAATAGCTTAATTTATATTTCCTTATAAAAATATACAAAATACTACTATTTTTTAACTTTTCCTTCAGTGAGTTAAAAAAAAAAAACCCTCTACATCAGTAACATTGGTCACATGGGTCATAAGTTCAAAATGAATCCATACCATCTCACCCACAGTCACGCTGGGTGTGAAGGCCAAGCACTCAGCCTAGCTTTTCAGACACACAGTTATCACAACTGGCTTTATGTCAGCATAACAGAGTATGAGTCTTTAAAAAAACAGATCAGTGGGATAATCATTTGCTGAGTATCATTTTGTCCCATTTTCCCCAATTATTAAAACAAAGCTGTAGAAAGTTCTCTACTTGCAATTCTAGTAGCTTGTGATAAAAATACAGTTGCAAACTTTCAATAAAGCAGATGATCTGTGAATCTCCTGATTACTAAAATTCAATTTTTCAAAAAACTAAACCAGCTGTTGGAAAATATCTTCTGACAACTTAAGTGACAGAATAACGTTTTTTTTCTTTAATAAAGTGAGAAGGAATCGGGTACCTAAGATCATTTCTGATGAGCCTTTCAAACTTGGCTTCTCTCCACGACGCCTGTATTTTTTAAAAACATTTTTAACATAACCTTTGGGATCAACTTATAATTGCTCATCATAAAAACTGAAATTTATATATCTGAAATTGACAAACTTTACAAAATATTTAACAAGAGGAAGAGGTATATCTTACAGAATTATTTGGCTATATCATAAGGCAATCAATGAAGACAGAATTTTTCCAATCATAAATCTGACATAGTGAAATTCTAGAACATGATAATTCTCCACAAATCTGAGAGCTTGTTGGTTCCAGCAATATGCTCATGCCATGTCATCACCACTGAGCTTTGATGAAAGCAGACTGAATGAGAAAGGAACAAACTTGGTGCCTGCACCAACATAGAATTTGTTCTGAAACTCTACCCTAAAAAAAAAAAAAAAAAAAACATATTAAAACATTTCTTTTATTTCTTAAAATAACATTTCAACATTGTAAGAATGAGATAAGAAAAGACACTCCCATCTAAGGTTGCTTCACTCCATGCATGCTTTTGGTGCAAATATTTTTGCTGCTATAAAATCCAAACACACAATCTCAGGTGCCTTCTAAATGTGCAACAGACACACCAGTACACACCACCTCACACTCTATAGACACCCATACAAGCTGGGAATCTCCTACTCCAGTCAGTGGACACACAGACAAGTGACCTGATACACACTATGAAACACTAAGAAACATGTAAGGAGTACTCTTCATCGTACAGTAAGATGAAGCAACTGCCAGACCCAGAATGAATGGAACACCTAAATACACAGTTACTCAGCAGCACGCACTCGTTATCACTACTCAGTAACAAGAGTTCATCTACAAAACACAATCTTAACTCCGAGGAGCTTAATTCAGAACCCAGCATCAAGAAGGGACAAACCAGCCCCCATCAGCACAAATTTGCAGGTTCTGTCATATATATTTGGGAGCAGCAGTCTGGCTCTCCATATAGGCTTTTGTGCAAACATTCCCCAGAAATTGCAGACTCACCAATGGAGACGGATGGCATGAAGAAATGCAGAAAGCCCTTCCATGATCAAAAGGATGAAAATTGTCAGAACTGCAAAGAGCGCGATGACGGGAAGCAGTAGCAGGACCCCGTAGGTGGTGTCCACGCGGAGGCCCACCCGCATCAGCATGGCCCACAGGACGTCGGACAGCTCTGCAAGGGAAGCAACGGGCAGACAACCCGCTGGCACTCAGCGAGTCACGTCACTGTGCTGGCTGCACAGGGCTGCCCGCTACCCATCCTGGACTTAGCCCATAAAACAGCCTGAGGCCTCCTTAATACAGGTGCGTGGCTGTGCAGCCTGGCAGCTCTGCCACTGTCTCCCCATGAGGGGCACCTGCATGCCTGCCTCCTGGGGGCTAGCCCAGGCCACCTGCGCTGGCTATATCCACACGAAGCTGGGCTGGCAGCCAGAAGCGGGCTTCCCACACTAGCCAGCTGATGGCTTGACCTGTTCGCACTGATCCTCCTGGGCGTCAGACTGCTCTTCTGCAAAATCAGCATCAGACTATAGTTCCTGCCAGCTGTGCAACTGCAGACTTTGGCTAAGCTCGCTAGATGTTGAGGCAACTAACACCAAACAGAAACAGAAGCCAAACGCTCATCTGGTGGTTTGCATGCACAGGCGAAGGTGGGAGAACTGTGCACAGAGGGGTCGCCATGTGGTCCTTCACAGCAGGAGGGGGAGAGGACCTCCAGGTACGTCAACGGTTTTCATCAAAATATTAAAAATTCTTCTACTACCAGTTATAGATGCACAGGGGACTTTTTAAAAACACAGCAAATCTATTTCTAGCGCATTAGACACACGGAATATTCGCTCTTTTGTACTGTCATGGAGGACATCGATGGAGGTCTCTCCCGCACGGCCAACATGGGCAGATGAATGGGAGCCAGCTCCTCTCTGTTCTTAGCAACTGTCCCATCTTCTCTGGTAGGGTCAGTGCCCAGCACCGTGTCCCTGCACCTTCAGTGCCCAAACACCGCCCAGCACTCAGCAGCCCGGGACAGGGCATCCGCAGCAGGTGCGTCCTCACTTTGCAGCATCACCTGGCATGAGGCCTGGGCAGCAGCACCTATAGAAGTTCTTCTGGAACTCCAGACACAGAAAAGCCGTCCACAGCCAGGGTGTCCACTCTGCTTCCTCTGCCATGTGCTCACTATGCAGGCCATTTCTGCTTCCTTGTCCCCTGTGCATTGCCACCCGCGCTATGTATGCTTGGGTGAGGGCACAGAGGCCCGCGGCCACAGCCTCAGAGAGAGGTGTCTAGCACTGGGCATGCAGCCATGCACATCCTCACAGCTACTAACTAGCCACAGTGATTGAGATCTGAACTGTTTCCAGGGGCCTTGCCATGACACCTGAAATATGAACACGAGTAGAACTTGACAGGGTAGGAGTGGGAGGGAGAAAGAGGTTGCCTAAAATCAGTACTATGTACCAGTTCCGCTGCTGGACTTGCTTGACAGATACCCATACTTGGCGAGGCAGGAATGACTGAAACAGTAAGGGTAAAGACAAAAATGGCCACGGGGACAGTGGCTAGTCTCCTGTTCTAAGCTCCTGTCTTAGTCATCTCACAGCACCACTAGGCCAAAAGAAACACCAAAAGAGAAGTCCAAAGAACCTATCCCGTTACTCTTCCATGCAACATCTGAAAGGTGGGGTAGTTTCTACCTAGAAAACTTAGAAGTGTCCCATGGTGCCCCCAGGGTTCGCCATGCATTGCCTACAGGGTGTCCAGGCACTGGGTTTAAGAACTGCAGGTCTAAGCCAGAACTTACGTGCATGAGCCAGGCTGAGGGCCCAGAGGCGCAGGTATGAAGCAGTGTTGGAGATGCAGCCCAGGCAGTACTCAATGGAGTGAATGACTTGGGTCATCAGTATTTCTCCAAAGTTGAACTAAGAGAGATAACACAGCAGATGTCGGTCCCTGCATTATCTGCACCCAACATGCTCTGGCATGTTAGTAGGAACAGGCTGGAGCATGGGACCCTGCAGATCTGAGTTCTGCTCACAGCGCTGAGACCCCATTCCCCTCACCTCCACAAACTGGAGGCCTCAGTTCTTCAGAGGTAGGCTGGAGGGCCACCGTCACTCCACCTGCCCCTAGATCCCTGAGCTGGTAGCCTGACTACAGGTCACCCCAATGTGAAAAAAAGCACCAGGTACCAGCCAAAGGCTAGACAGCTACTCAGCAATGTGGGGGGGTTGACAGACACACATGTTGATGAGACACGTGGGAAAATCACAGGCAGGCCCTGACAGTGAAAGGCATCTTACCTTACGGCTTGTTTGCTGGGCCTGGGGGCTCATAGGGCTTTTCTGTGGCCACAGTCAACACTGTTATATTATCGTTATATTCAGAGTTTTCTACAACCATTTGTGTTTAAGACTTTCCCAGTCCCCTATTTAGAACAAGGAGAGTGAGAAATGCGATTGCTTCTCACTGCCTTTCATAACTAGTGAGCAAAGAACATAACATGTAACGAGAAGAGGTGGAATAGTGTTGGTACTGCTACTCTGTTCAGACGGGCTGACGGCTGTGCGTGGGGACCAGGGCTAGCTGTCTCCAGCCCGCTCCAGGAGAACACGGGCCCAAACGGAGGCAGAGGAGCAAGTAAGTCACTAGCCCAAAGGTGCCTCCTGACAACAAAGAACAAAGTCACAGGATTTTTTTGGGCATCTTTCCTGATACGTGAGATCTTATGGAGCTCATATAGGTTTCTGCATGTCTCCAGGCAGGAATTTTTCCTTGCAGAAATGTTCTAGAAGAATACACATTCTGGATCTGCTGAAGGCTCAGGGAAAGCTCCTGATTACAGGCCAACCAGACAGCTTCTGTATTCTTTACATCCCAATTCAATGCAACAGCCAATGCTTGAGGGTCTTTCCTGGTAACCACTTCCAAGCTTGGACCAGCCAGACTGAACTCTAGATCATGCAGAATTCTCCTCAGGGCAGTGAGGATCTGGCTCTCAGTGCAACATCCTGGGCGCTATTCGCTCCCAACAGCACAATCATCTTGTTACTGAAGCAGCTTTGACAAGACAGTGCCCTTCCCCAAAGCCTGGCAGAAGAGCCCCAGGCGCTGCCTGGACAGATGGGCTTCCTCCCCTGAGCAGTCATCCAGGGACAGTGCCAGGCCTGACGCAGCTGCTGAGCCAGGTGTGCACACAGAATGGAAAAGGTTACCTCTTCGCACGTGACCTCCCTACATCCATCTTCCACCTGGTTGTTTCCCTCCTCGATGTCTTGGCTGCCCAGCAAGGAAACTTCTTCCTCACTGTCTTTCCTCACAAGCGTGTAGCCACTCTGAAAGCCAAAAGAACAGGAGTTAGTGCCCCGGCATCTCGAGGTTGTGACAAAACCAAACTCATAGCCACTACTGCACTACTGTCTCTCTAAACGAGTCAGCTCCTGGACCAAAAAAAAAGATCATTAAGGGAAAATGAGCATTTTATACCCATGAAGTTGGCTATTTAATATAACAGTGCTGGTGAGGGTGTGGACTAGACCCTGTGTGAAATGCTGTGGCTATGGAGACCACAAGCCCTTGCTCTCAGTGGTCAGGGTAAATGTCCAGGTGACCTGGCGACTCTGTTCTGAGGGCAGGCACACCTCGCAGAGCACATCACAGCAGCATCGCTGCAAGGGTACAGATTTGGCCTTGAGAGGGAGGAGGATCTGGCACTGCCATGATGCATACGAGCCTGCAATGCCGGGCTTAGCAAGACCAGGTAGCCATGAAGGAAAAGCGCTGCCAGGCCCCTCTCCTTGAGGTTCCCAGGGCAGTCAAACCCCTACAAGAGAAAGTGGGATGGGAGGTAGGGGCTGTGGAGTGGGCAGGACCAGTTTTCAGATGTGATGGCCAGGGTGGTAGCACAGAGGAAACACAGGGCACCCCGACCCAATCCCTGAAAAGTTATGCTAACTATTTGTCACCAAAGGTTAAAAAAATAAAAAACTAGACACACAGGGAAATAATCTAGAATGAAATTGAACAAAACTGTGACACTGGTCATAGCTGGGTGGGAGAGTTTCAGAGAACGTTTTCTGTATTTTCCACACTTCTGATAATTGATTTCTATTATTTAAGTTAAAAAAATTAAAATAGAAAGTCCAGAGGCAAGAGTGGGGGAAGGGGGAGGTTTCTGGCTTCGACAAGCTGTTCCGGAGGGCAGCCTAGACATGCAGGCCTGAGGTGGACACCTGCAGACGGCAGCTCAGGTGCCGTTGAGGGAGCGCAGACCCTCCAGCCAGAGCTGGGCTCTAAAGCTCTTTTCGGTGCCCACCCCCATTGCCACTGCAGACAGACCAGGCTCCAAACACACACCCAGACTCACCCTGCTGACCCCGAAGCAGCTGCGCCCGTTGTGCAGCCACAGGAGGAAGAGTGGTTTTCCCAAGAAGAGGACGGGGACAGACAGGGCAGTGACAGCCAGCAGCAGCCTCTGCACATGTTCCTGCGGAGCAGAGGGCGTGAGTGGGATGCGGGGCCCGGCCCAGGTGCTGCTGGCCGGCTGCAAGGGCCGAGCGCGCGGGCAGGCCTCTCGAGGAGGAGCGCGTGCTGGGCACCGGCCCAGTGGTGTCTGCCAGGAGCCTGCCCCCTGCCCGAACTCCTGAATTCTAGAACCAACAAGCACTAGCAGAAGAGCAGTGAATACTCTGCTGTTTAGACCAGCAAGAGATTTGTAGGAAAATACTAACTACATTCAAACTCAAGTCAGCCATTTTCTGAAAACGCTCTTAAACGGGAAGACATGAACTGGGCCATACATGGTTTTATGTTCTTGGTCGTGTCTTTCTGCTCTGACTACTCGAGAAGTATGAGCGTGGAGCAGTGGGCGTTCCTCCACACTGAAAAACAGTGAAGCAACATCCAGAACACAGCCAAAAATGTTTTATTAAAAAGGAGCGAGACTTTCAGTTATTTAGACCTAATTCAAGGTGGCAACGACAGGTTGATGACAATGCTGTCAGCACAAACGCCACACAACTCCATGAGCCAATGTGAGCTCAATGAGAACTCAAGTATCTAAATCAAAAAGCCTAATTCAAGAGCAGAAAGATGATCTACCTGCCCTCTGTAAAGACCGCTGGTTTCACTGGCTGGGAACAAAAACATGTTAATAAACTCAATCAGAATGCTGGGAGCGACTCTGGAGGTTTCTGCCGAGTAGACCAGCCACTTGTAGACAATCATAAATATAAGGTAGCCGAAGATGCAAAGCATGAAGAGCAGCTCTGGGATGGAAACCAAATAAATATTGAACTTCTTCCTGAAGTGCCTAGAAAATTGAAAAAAATGGTTTTAATCTGTGGATCCACAAGATCAGACTAAGATAACAAGGATGAATCCATTCTAAATCCCTGTGTGGGGCTGCCGGCAGGCTCTGTTCTCACGACGCCCTGACCAATGATCCAGACTCAGCCCAGAGAGGAGCTGGGGCAATGAAGGGGGCCAGTTTCTCACTGCACAAATGCTGAAGCTCTAATAAACAAAATGCCTTGTAATTTATAAAATTTAAAAAGGACATGACAAAGTCCATTTCTGTCATTAATGTGACATGTTGTTTGTTTCCCTCACTTGAATTTAAGTTCCATGAGGTAGAAAGCTTGTTCCGTCCCCACCGTTCAGTCCTCAGGGTCAGAATAGCCTGGCGCATACCATGTGCTCAATAGGTATTTGGTGGATGGATGAATCACTCAAGATGCAAAGACACGGCATCATCAGAACTGAGTCACCCCCACAAGACCCCACTGTGCTGGCTCCCCCACTGTGACCAGTCTTCCATCAAGGAGCAAAGTTTAAGAAATATCAGACTCAGCCTCTAAATACTCCTAAAAAGAACCTGTACTTACAAGTGGTTAAATATTCCCAGAGTGACGCCAAAAGTCATGTGAATAATTCCTAAAATCACAGACATTTTCATTTTGAAAGAATTTAGAAAAGTGAGGCGGTTTGTGGCCAAGTTCCAAATCTAAAAAAAACAACAGAACAAAAAAAAAAAAAAAAGAAAAGAAATTTGTGACATCCTTCAACTGTCTTAGGGTAAAGAGGTGACACTCCAGAAAGCACTGATCCCAAACTGAAAGACAGGTTCAAGTATAAGTATAACAGAAAGCAGGTGGGCAGACTGTGTGACACCTTCGCCCAGGCCCACTGGCTATACCAGAGCCTTCACACACATACACACCCCCACCCTTGCTCCCCCAAACCCTCGGTGACTATCAAAGACAGGTACAATGAGTGACATCAAGAGCAATAACATATGTTTCCTAAGTAACATGAGGAGGAGCAGGAGAGACAGTGGGTTGGGGGGACAGAGCACTTTGAAGGGCAAGGCTTCCTCTGCTGGAGTCTGAGAATTGGCAGGGCCCCAGAAGAGAGGTGGGAAGGTGCACTTACCGGGTCAATCCCCAGAGGATAGGGGCCTTGGAAGACTCCGGGGATGCTGGGGTCCAGTTGCAGGACCCTGTTGTGCCTGACCACACTGTCGCTGCAAGGGAAGTGGGAGCAGCTCAGAGCAGACAGGCGGGCAGGCAGGCGAGGCCTGACCCAGGCAGCAGGGGAGGCAGCACTTACTTCCAGAGCACCATCTTTTCCCGCTCCCCTGGGGCATGGCTGGAGCTGTACATGGCAGACACGTTCCATCCTGAGCCGAAAAGGTTGACCGACTTAGAAAAGCAGTCGTTGTATATGAGGCCAGTGTACACGGAGAAGAGCCCCATCAGCAGGAGGATATAGCGGCCATTGAAGAACATCCGCATGATCTGGGAAAGGAGAAGCAGTGAGCACCTGGAGCTCCTGGGAATGTGCTGATGGATAGGGTCCCGGTGTGACCTGTTGCCCCCCTTGCGGCCCTCAAACACAACCTGATGGGACCTCCCTGACATACAGGACAACACGCCCACACTTCTCACACTCAGCTAGGGAGACAGTGGTAGCTGGAGCTGCCACTCAAAACCTGCCTCTGCCTTTCAGCCAAACAGGAGACACTCATGCCAGACAGGGAGCTGGGGTATGCGCTCACCTCTTGGGACTGGTTCAGGCTGGGGTGGTTTTCATTCAACACCAACAAGAGGGCAAAGAGGAACATCACAAAGCCATGTCCGAAGTCTCCAAACATCACAGCAAACAAGAAGGGGAACGTGATGATGGTGAAGAGCGCTGCAGGAAGGCATGAGGTAGCTTAGGCTGGGAAGGCAGGACGCCTGGTCAATCCAGACACAACATCGCTCGCAGCCCCAACTTTCCCCAGAATTCCCAGATAGAACCAGGTTACTCTGACACTTGTCAGCCAGTAAGACGACAAGACAGCAGTGGCAAGCCTGTCATCACGAGAGACATTTCAGGCATGTTCTGACGTGGAGACAGAGCAGCAGCCAGGTAAAGCCCAAGGATACACAGGAGCAGAGCCCACCTGGGTTGACCTCACGGTAGCTCCCCACACCGTAGGCATCCACGATGTTCTGGAATCCCTCAGTGAACTTGTTAGTGCGAATCAGCGTTGGGGGTGTTTCTTTCGTCGGGATGGTGTTCATAAATGAGGGGATCGTAGCACCACTCTCTCGCTTTCATATTAAAATAAAGAGAAAGGAAGAGAAACATGATTGTCCAAGGACTCTTTTTTTTTTTTTTTAAGATTTACTTACTTATGCATATAAGAACTGGGGTACAGACCAGAGGCGTGGGGGAGATGAGAAGATTCACTAAAGACAGAGTGGGGAGCAGAACAGGCAGATCAACAAAGTACACTGCTGAGGGGAGTAGCAGGCGGGTCAGGAGAGGTCTGCCACGCCATGTGAGTCACCTCCAGGGCCGGGGATCAAACAAACGTGTGCTGCAGTGGTTGCAGACAGCTCATAGTGCTGCGCTTTAACCCCTTGCGCCCCCAGGACTCTTAATAAGCACCAGCTCCGGGCTATGCGAGGGGCGCTAGCAGTTGGTGCAGGGCTCAAACCCACCTTCTGATTTCAGAAGGCCCCTGGTGATATTAACATGCTCACCTAGAAAGCTCCTATAATACCTGGCGCATTTATGCCACTTCTACTGTACTATTTCCGTGAGTTATCTTGAATATATATTCATACACCCAATTACGGATTACATGTAACACAGTATTTCCTGAGTGTGTAAAACATATTCCAGAAAACTAATTTCATTTCAAAGTGTTCAAAAGAATACAGAGGTCAAATCCCACATAAAGTTACCACCCCCCTTGCCAGCTCCTGGATGACATGTCCACACCGCAGTCAGCATGCAGATTACTATTCCAAAATGAGTTGAACAAACGTGAAAATAATATCTGGCAGAAAAAAGCACCATAAATGAGAAAAAGAGTCAGAAACCAGATAACAGAAGACAACAAGGAATTAAAAAGAAAAGAAAATCTTTACTTCAGAAATAAAATTGAACTAGAACACAAAAGTGAACAAAAAATTCCTAGTAAAAGAAAGTGAAAAGAGAAGAAATTTTTACATTTCAGGAAGTGAAGGAAGACAAAAAGCATTAAGAAAAAATTATTGAAATAAGCAGAGAACGTTCACCTTAACGGTTAATATTCAGCATGAAGAAAGTCAGAACAAGGAAACAGAAAAAAACACATTTTGGGTGTTCAGAAATTTTCTAAAATACAAACACCACTACTACATATTAAAAGAATACATAGTATATCTGAGAATACCAACCCAAAATGGCCAGTAAAATTATAATTCTTTAAGAGAAAGAAGTTTTTGAGCTCTCAAGTGCAAAAAATAGCATGATTTACATGAAAAAGAATATGAGATCAGTGACAGGCTCTTAGCAACACTATATGAAAACAAAATGGCCCCAACACATAAAAACAAACAAAAAAACATGTTCCAAGGATTTTATTTCTAGAAAAACTAACATCTGACCACAGAGGCAAGACTATCCAGGCACCTGCACGGGAGAGCTCATGGCCTCCTGCTACACAAGACCAGCTGAGAACGCTGGAGAGACCACCCGCCCCTTCCACCAGACCAGAGACAGCATGGAGTCGTCTGGGGGACTCCAAGTCAAACTCAGTGTCACAGGCAGCAAAAGTGGCATTCGAGACACAAACCAGCCCAACAGGTCAATGGGCCCTAATGGGGCAACTAGCTGGTTTCACCAACACTATGGACCAATTAATTGGTTGGTTATAACTATAAAAGAACATGAAAATTCCTGGGAAAAATGCAAAGCCATGGGGGCCTCCCTGGTGGTTACAGGGGTTATAGTCTCAGAGCAATCAAGCTATCGCCAGATACTGCAGCCTGAGTTCAATCCCTGGACAGGGAAGTGACCCACATGGCACAGCAGACCTCTTCTGTGTCCCCGCTGCTCCCCTCAGCAGTGGATTTCAGACCTGTCTGCTCTGTTCCCCACTCTCTCTCTCTCACCCCCTGCACCTTTAGCCTACACCCCAGTTCTTGGATGCATAAATAAATAAATCTTTTTTAAAAATAAAGAAAAAGCAGGAGACTTCTGGAAGATGGCGGCAGAGTAAAGACGCCGAGATCACTGCGTCCAAGCCTGCATAGGAATTGAGGACTGAAAACGGACTATAGACTCACTTACTACAAGTTTTAACCCAAACGAAAACACCCTGGACTCACTAGAAGGTAGATAAC